TGGGGGTAGAAAAACTTTGGACCCTCTCAGATCAATTAGGGGTGCCTGCAGGGCGGTCAAAATCTCAAGAGGGCAGCCTTGGTTGCAGTTGTGGCTATTTCAGACAGACAGATGTGCACACACACACACACACCTGGCCTGTGTCCTCTGATGCCCTAAGACAGCAGCAATTGCTGTATTTGCAATAAGGCCAATCCAGTTCTTAAAGTCAGAACAGGACCACTGTATTGGAGATTAACAAACCTTTGGGCCTGGAAACACCTGCACTGAGAATGGAGTGGGCACACTCACAAAATGGTGGTGGTGAAACATTCCCAGGAGGGTCCATTTATAGGGTGCAAAGGCATTGCTGGAAATAACGGTGGGGTTTGCTTTGCAGCAAGCCGGCTTCCTAACTCATATTTTGCCTTTAAGACCTTGTAAAAAGGCGCTAAAGAAGGGGTTGCGGGACACACGGGTGCCCGTGGGCACTGTGCTGCCTAACCTGTGTGCTCAGGCTCCTGCGACAGATATTTCCTGTGGACCACAACAAATCTAAAATACTCCAAAACCCATACCAATTGACATCATGCCGGACTGAATTCACAAAATCCTTTAATGGCACTGAGGATAGAAGCCAGTGTTCCCGAGAGGCTTTCCCTCTGCGTACCTGAGGACCAGCGCACCACCAGGTCTTGCTTGCCTGCGCATGCTCTCACACTCCTTTCCCCATGTATTTTCTAGAGCATGGTGAAGGCATGGCCACCCAAGCAGTTCTTGCAACATTTGGCGCATCTCCTACGTGGTCCTCCCAGGGTGCAATCAGCCACGTGAGGCAGGCAAAGCCCCTCCCACAGGTGTTGCATTTGAAAGGCCTGCTCCCACATCGCTTCAACTTGTCGCAGTGATTGCTCATGGCACCTAAGCGCCCTGCTTCCAGCCCCGCTTAGAAATACTGCTAGAAAGGAAGGCGATTCTCCTCCTGTCTTCGGCAAACAACTACCTGGGCTCGTCAGCCTGACCCCTTCCTTCCCCACAATCCGGCTTGGGAGCAATGCTGATCTTTTTTATCATGCAAAAACAGTCTTTGGCTCCGGCGCTCTTCCCGCACTGGGGACAGGTGGCACTATCCCCCTTCTCTCGGTGGCGCTTCTTGTGCAGCTGAGCCCCGCTCTGGAAGCTGAAGATCTTCCCGCACAAGAGGCACTTGTACCTTAGCCCTGCATGGAACGCGCGATGCGTGGGCAGGTAATGCTTGGTGAAACTCTTGCCGCACTCCCCGCACGGGTAAAGCGGCCTGTCCTGAGCCCTCCTCCGGAGCACGGCTGGCGCAACGCAGGCCTCTCGGCTTCGGGCACCGTCATGCGCCCTTTCTGCGGCCTGGTCCCGGGCCTGTTTGGGGAGGGGGCTTTGGCCGCCCACGTCTCCCCCGCAGCCGCCACTCTCCGCGTGGGCTCGCAGGTGAGCAGAAAGCTGCCACTTGTACACAAACTTTTCCCCGCATTCCTGGCACCGGCACAGCTTCTTAGTCACGGACACCATTGCCAGGCTGCGGGGACTGTCCGCGGCGCCGCCACCAAGGTGAGGGACGCCTCTGTGTTTCCCCGTTTTCTGTTTCCGCTGAGGCTGGCAGAGTATGAACTTCAGGAACTTACCAGCGGAGGGGGACCGGGCCAGCGCTGGTGCGGGAAGGGGGGGCCCCGCCGAGCCCCTGGTGCTGCCTGACCCGCTCGGCCCCTGCTTGCCGGGAACCCTCGGGGGTCTCAAGGGATCGGCGGGTGGGCCAGGCTGCCGCCGCGCTCTCTGGCGGCAGTACCTGTAGTGTGATT